TCTACGGGACAAGCCACCAAATATTTATTGTACACAATAATAATGTTTTACATTGTAATTATTTTATTTTTAATTTTTGGCATGTTTGTGTGCTGCTGCGCGTCCTTGTGCGTCTACATGCGTTGTGGACTCGCCTATGGGCACTTATTACCTCCTTATCCTCCCCCGTGTAGTGCGCATGCACCAGCGTGCATGCAGCCTGTCGCAGTTGCCCAGTTGTCGTTGCCGTAATACTAATTTTTAAACTTTCTTTTAAGTCTGACCACAACTTAGTTTATATTAATCCTTGTATATGTGCCTCTGGTGAAAAAGCAGCCGGTGACCACAATGATGGTGAGGAGATGGTCAGAGGAGGCCTATGAGACACTTCGGGGATGTTTTGAGGTGACAGACTGGGATGCACTCTGTGAGCCACATGGAGAGGATTTAGATGGGCTTACTGAGTTTATCACGGATTACATACTGTATATATATATATATAAATGTATAAATATAGCTGTGAGCAGCGATAAAGGGCCAAAGCCGGCGTTACCACCATCCCGGTGCCTTTAGGTAACTAAAGGCATCAAGGGTTGCGGTGCCACCGGCTTGGGCCCGCAATCGCTGCTCGCAGCTATATTTATTATTATTTTTCTTACGACTATTCAGGCACTTTTGGGGCCTTTAACGTGCTCAAACTCTTGAAACTTTGCACACAGGTCAGAACCCGCGGCCATCAGAGCCGGGCTGAAGATGGTACCTGGGCATGGCAGGGGGGCTTGACAGCGCCCCCTGGAACAGGGTCCAAAAACTTGGTCCATAAATCAAACACGCTTGCATGTAATAATATGAAACTCGGTACACATATAGATCTCATCGTTTCATATATACTTCATACTATTACTTTTTACCCCAGCCCAACAGCAAGTCGGCTATTGAGGGTTCTTTGTAAAACACACGCAATGCAAATTAAAGTACTCCTCCTAGAGCACTGATCCAAATTTGACACAACTCGGTCAGCGTGATGTCAAGACATTGAGGATGAAAGCTTGTAGCTAAGCCACATAAGGAAAGAATGTTTATATTGCTGTGAAGTATTTGTATGATGCTTACCAGACAGCTGTTTTTATAATTATTCTTTCTCTGTTGATGCCCCGGACATGTGATTGTGTTCCTGGTTTTTACCGCGAGAGTTCCGTCGCGGAGCTCCAGGGAATCCCCGTGACGTCAGTCTGATCAGCTGGGTTAATGACTTTTACTTCCGTTTAAAAGAGCCGGGAAAGCAGCGTTCGAGAGCAACGTAAACATTGCTCTTTTGGGACTAGCGATCGATCGCACTACTCCTTGGGTTGTCATTGACTGCGATTGTTGAACTCTTTGTGGAAATATACTTGTGGATTATTTTACCCTGGAGATCGCATCACAGGACAGCGCTGTTCCTCGTCAAGTGCACGGACTTTAAAAGGCTTACCGGTGAGCCCGATTCAACACATACACTTACACTGGATTGGAACACTCACACACTCACTGGACTTATTTCATAGTTTGTATATGTTGATTGTTGGTGCTTTGTACTTAACCTGTTAACCTTCAGCTCCACAAGGGGGCTCACAGCTGAAAATGACATGCCTGGATAACAATAAATACAGCTCCTGAGAACAGTGTACCACAGGCACAATTAAGGTATCTTTGGAAAGAAGACAGTTGGGACTCTACTAACAATCAATCAGATTTGATAATGCTCAAACAGAAAAAAAGTTATAAAAGTTAAAAGTGCCTCAAAAATAATGTGCGCCACAAAAATGTTTTAGTATTTCATGTACAAATATATAAAAATAGACCTGGAGTAATTCAGATAGATAAAGGATTGAAAGCCACAAGTCTCATCAGTTTATATTTCAAATTTGAGGAAGATATAATGAACAATGGGGTTCCTGCAAACTTTTTTCCAAGACTATGTCAGTTCCCTTTCTCCCTCCCCTGCCTGAGGCACATCCCCAGAAATAACATGCCCAAACTAAAATATTTGCAGTTGCTCAACTATTTGCACTACATGCACAATTTAGACATGTTTAAAAAGAAGACACTTTAGAGTGTATTACCCAACTGTTAAAGTTGAAAAAACTTACACAGACAAAAAGTTATAGAATTTAAAGTGTCTTGAAGATAATTTATACTGCATGTAATATTTTACAATTTCATGTAAAAATAAATGAAAACAAACCTGTAGGAATCCAGTTAGGTAATTGATTGAAAGACATAAGTCTCATCAGTTTATATTTCAAATTTGAGGAAGATATTATGAAAAATGAGATTCCTACAATATTTTTTCCAAGACTATGTCCAGGTACCAAGAAACCTCCTTGGATACATCAAAAAGCAACCTAATGACCAAATGTTATGCAGGGCACTGCAAGCTATTTCAGTCAATTCATAAAATAATGCAATTATAAAATAATACACACAACCATTAGACTTTATGCAAGTGATTTATTTGCACAACAGAACAAAAAAATATATGTAAAATACATAAGTAAAATATTATGAAATATATAAAATAAATAACTGAGGTTCTTTGCAATAGAAAATACAAGTGATATAAATACTGTACTTTGTTGGCTTGGCCTTCATATATTGCTTTAGTCCATTCCTAGCTTTTGATGCCACCATCCTCTGGTCAATTGCAATGTTCTGAAAAGTATGGAAAAAGTGAAGAACAGTGAAGAAACTGAGAGCTTGCATCTCTGGCTGGTGCTTGGATGCCATTCATCATCTGAAGATTCAACTTGATGGTTGTTGCATGGGAAAGAATGGAAAGATAATTAGCACTGCATGTCAAGTAAATAATTCTGTTTAGTTTCTATATAGCTGGCCATTCATTCAACAATCAAACTGATGGGCAGTCGTTTACACAGCATTCGTACTAAAGCTCATCCATTCAATCAACAATCAATGGCCGGTGATGGCCAGTGATATAGACAGCATTCATATGGATGACCAGACAAAGAACCAACAATCACACTGATGGCCGGCCATCAGACAGGAATGTGGCATTTTGAAAGCATACAACTCCTTCCTATATAGCACATATTTTCTGCAATTCTTCCCACCAATTTCTGCAAAAAAACAAAAAAAAAAAAAAACAATATATATATATATATATATATATATACATACAACATATACATTTACAGTACAACATACATCATATTTACAGTACAAATATTTGCATTTGTACTATAAATATTATGTATATTAGACTGTAAAAATATACAGTATGTGTGCTAGGAAAAAATGTATATTGCACAGGTGTCCAGCCCCTCCATCCTTCAGATAGCACACCACATGTGCCAGAAAAAAACGGCAAACAACTGCATAACCGTACAACGCATATAAATACATATATACAAATAAATAAATGCATATAAAGTAGCATAATCTTTTCAGACACAACTTTACACAATGCATTTTCCATATGAAACAACTGGAAACCAAACACAGTAACACACACTCTCTCTCTCTCTCTCTCTCACCCACCCACACACACACAGACACACATACGTATAATGTGTGCATGTTACATAATTATGTATAAAGCAACTCACCGAAAATTGGATAATCTTTTCCGCCCTCAAGCATAATTATCACCGTCGTCACGATCTTCTCATCACTCATCTTCTCATCAATGTCGACATAATCCATCTTCGAGTGATCTCGAATAACTACTTCAGCAGAAAAATATTTTTTTGACAAATCATTTTATGACAGTCTGCATGTCTGCACGAACAGATGTTTGTTGACTAGCTACCTCTTAGCTTGTTATCTTAGCTCTTAGCTATAGCAGGCCTGTCAAAACATGACCGCGGTGGGTGTGGCTCTGCAGAGCCTGAAGTTTAGCTCCTCTATCGGACGGAGAGCAAATAAAAACATATGTTCGTGTGAGAAATTCAAACTTCCCGGGCATCGTTGGAATCGTGCACTGGTTGGCTACATGTTTTACCAGTCACATCATGTCGTTTCTTTTATTGGCTTTCGTTATAAAGACAGAATGATATGATGTGCATATCATGACGTCAAAAAAACGGACTGCAGTGTTTGCATATTTTGAACTAGATATCGCTTATCTTTGTATTTGTGTTTGTGTGTGCGGTCGTAATTTGTTCATTACACTCTAAGCAACACACCCATATAAGGGTCTGCTACCGGGAGTCTGTTTTCTATGGACTATTTTATTGCATAACAAAACCGCATGATATTCACCCTGAAGAAACGCGATGTAAACAAAGGAATTACCATGGATATTACAACATTATTTTTTCTTTGGACAAAAAATGCTCTATGGGATGTTATTCAGTGGACCCTCAGCTTTCCATTCAATCTGGAATTTTTAACAGTGGATGCGTGTCTGGCTCGTTATTACAAAATAATGGTGAGTACTCCGTTTTTGTTTACGTGCGTTTTTATGTGTACTGCTTACCTAAATGCAAGAAATACATTTGTTATAAGCTTTCCATCGAAAAACAGTGCACTGACATCGATGCCCGAGGCTTAGACCTTTAAAATTATATATAGTTTGCCAAGATTAATGATCTTCTTTCATGTTAAATCCATTCATAAACATTAAACTAGTGGGGGGGGGGGAGGGCTTCAGAGCGCCGTCGGTTGCCCGAAGGTTAACTGGTTAATACACTTTGAGGTATTATAACATCTTGTTTGCTGTTGTGTTTATGGTGTGAGTAAAGAGAACAATTTCATTGAAAGAATTTATAGAGGGTTTAAACCGTATATTTTGTGGTGTATCCTGCCTTAATTAGGCTGAGCGTTACATATTGGTGGCCCGTACGGGGACCCTTTATTATTGTTCTTTTTGTCTGTTTTTTTTTTCTCACGATGGAGGTGAGGAATACTGATGCAGTTACCGAAATTGTAGATACTGCTGATGACTTGGTAACATTTGAAAATGTCCCAAATAATACTGAAGCTAAAGATCTTACTGGTATTCCTGTCTCTTTTGGGACTAGACGTAATCCTACTGCTGAAATAACTTCAATGCTTAGTTCATTGTACCTTTCTGATGCAGAACAATCTGATGATGATGATGAGAGTTGTACACAAACTGTTGATATGGTACAATCATTGCAAGCAGAAATAACTCAATGTAAAGTTGATTTATTGGCCCTTGATAACAAAGTACAAACCATAGAACAAGATTTCAAACAGTCAATGGACAGTACATTAAATCGGGAAACAAGTTTCAGGCAGGCTGTAGATTCTAGCTTGGCAAAGTTGGAAGATTATGTTGCTGATGCTCTGGAAAAATTAGAAAGGGCTGTGACAAATTGTTTTCTGAGGAGAGATGCGAAATGGGAAAGTCAAATGAGAAAATTAAGGCTCACTAGCACTCCCACACTCACCAGATTACAGGCCCATTATCCAGATACCTCCCGATTTTCCACTGTCCTTCAACCACCGACCCCAGCTAGAGTATCTGGAACGAAAATGCCCACTCATACACCCCTCAATGCTACTTATGATGTTCAACATCCTATGTATGATAGACAATCTAATCTGCTTACCCCTTCATTAGTGGCAGGTTCATCCTCATTCTGTGCCCGACCTCCTATCCGCCTCGAATTCCCCTCTTTTGGTGACTCCTGTGATACGGCGGAGGTGCTCAATTTCATTGAACAATGTGAGAACTTCCTGGAGATTCGGCCCCTCCCCAGTGCAGAACTCTTAGGAACCTTAAGCACGGTGCTGAAGGGACCTGCTCTGAGCTGGTGGAAAGCGGAGAAGGTCAAGGTAACGGATTGGAAATCCTTCAAAGAAGCATTCATGACTGCTTTTCTTTCAGATGATTACCTCTCAGAAGTGGAGGAAAAGCTGAGGACAATGGTTCAACAGCCACAACAACGTCTGAGGGACTTTGCATATGACTACCGGGCCCTATGTCTGAAATGGAAGCCAGATATATCTGAGGAGGACTTAGTAAATCGCATACTCAACAACATCAACCCCAGGGTTGCAGGATGTATGAGGGGAACTGTCAATTCGGTTGAGCAGCTGGTGAAGGTGGGCTGTATGGTGGAAAAGGACCACATGGGAGCCAAAGACTACTGGCAAAAAGTCAGCACTCAAAGCAGTAAAGGAAAGACCAACAAGAAGTCATCTGAACGTACCTCTAACAAAAACCTGGCTGGAGTGACACTAGCACAACCCCATCCAGTGTCATCTCTCCTGATGGTGCCTGTAAGAGTGAACGGCAAAGAAGTGAAAGCTGTATTAGACACAGGTAGCACATACACGTTAATGCAAGAAAGCCTGTGGAAACAGTTGAAAGGTGAGATTCCATCAGTTGTTACCTCCACTCCACAGAGGTTTATAATGGCGGACGGCACAGTTCACCAGTCCAGAGATCTGCAAAGGATTAGGATTCAATGGCATGACCAAGAATGCAGTTTGGATACTTATATCCTAAAAGACACTCACCTCGCATTTCCTCTTATTGCCGGGTTGGATTTCCTGAGAGACACGGGAGCAGTCCTGGAAGTGGGACGAGGCAGATATGGATTAAGATCTGAAAAAGGAAACACCTATTACTCTTTCTTGCCATCACAGATGCCAACAGGTCCGGGGATCCCAGAGGGTCAAGATCTTCCTCATAGGGATGCAAAGCTGAATTTATACTATGCGATACCATCCACCGGGAGGCTTCCAGAACTGTTCTCCATTCTCCCTGAGAGCACTATATGGGACTCGGACAATCAGGAGGAGTTGTTGAAGTTGATATTTGCCTGGCCCCGCACCACCTCAAACAACCTGGGTAAGACCTCAATTGTACAACACAGAATCACCTTATCTGATGACATACCCCTCAAATCCCGGGCGTACAGAGTGTCTCCTCTTAAAAAGCAGATTATAGAGGAGCAAGTAGATCAGATGTTGCGAGACAATATCATTGAACCTTCTTTCTCACCATGGTCTTCACCGGTGGTACTTGTCCCCAAACCTGATGGCTCACACAGGTTCTGCGTGGATTATAGGAGGTTGAACAGCAAGACAGTGGCAGACGCTTATCCAATGCCGTTGATCCACGACATCCTTGAATCACTGGAAGGAGCCTCTTGGTTTAGTTCCTTGGATCTGCAGTCTGGATACTGGCAGGTGGAGATGGAAGAACAGAGTAAGGAAAGAACTGCTTTTATCACCACCAAGGGGCTATTTCAATTCAAGTCTATGCCGTATGGGCTCAGAAATGCCGCTGCTACCTTCCAGCGTCTGATGGAGAGAGTTCTGTCTGAGTTAAGAGGGAAGATTTGTTTCGTTTATATTGACGACATCATCATCTATTCAAAGTCAATAGAGCAACACGTTCAACACCTCAACATGGTGCTACATAGACTTAATCAAGCCAACCTGACGTTGAACATGAAGAAATGCCACTTCTTCAAGCGACAGCTCAAATTCCTCGGCCATATAGTCTCTGAGAGGGGAGTGGAGATTGACCGAGAAAAGACCAGTGCGGTTGCAGAGTTCCCAATCCCACAAGATCTCAAAGCTTTGCAAAGATTTCTGGGATTGGCAGGGTGGTATCATAAGTTTATACCCCATTTCGCTGACATCGCTGCCCCTTTAAACCACCTAAAAAAGAAAGGTGTTAAGTGGGAGTGGACCTCGGAGTGTCAGTCTAGTATGGATGCACTTAAACAAGCTTTGCAAAACTCACCGGTGTTTATACAACCAGACAGCACTAAAGACTTCCAGGTTCACACGGATGCTAGTGAGGTAGGACTGGGTGCCATCCTCACTCAACAATCAGAGGAGGGAGAAAAGGTGGTGGCTTATGCATCACGGACCTTAACTGGAGCAGAGAAGAATTACAGCACTTCTGAAAAGGAATGTCTGGCAGTGGTGTGGGCTGTTGAAAAGTGGAGACATTACCTAGAGGGTAGAGCCTTCAACGTCTTCACTGACCATGCGGCACTAGCTTGGGCATTCAACTGCCCTAAAACCTCTTCACGCCTAACTCGCTGGACTCTACGACTGCAACAGTTCAACTTTCAGGTCCATCATCGAAAAGGCTGCCTCAATATGGGTCCTGACGCTTTGTCCCGGGTCCCAGGTATGCCTGATGCGGATGTTGCCCCTTGTCTATCCATATCCTCCCAACATGCGTCTACATTACCTCACTCTCTGGAGGAAATTACTAAAGCTCAACAATTGGACAATACCATCACTGAATTACAATCGAACATTCAACCTCGATCAGTCAAAGATCAAGCCATCACCTTTGAAAACCTCCAAGGGGTATGGTACCGCAAAGTTCCGATGAAAGAGAAAGGAGAGAAGTATCAGTTGGTAGTACCACTATCATTAACCACTGACTTCATGCACTATTACCATGATAATCCGCTTGGAGGACATCTCGGACAGTTGAAGACTCTGCTGAAGATCTTAGACGTGGCATGGTGGCCGTCTGTTAGAATGGACGTGTGCCAATACGTCAAAAGCTGTGAGATCTGCCAGAAATATAAACCCAGCAATACAAAACCTTCTGGATTGATGCAGAGTACACAGATCACTGAACCTGGACACACTTTGGGGGTGGATCTAATGGGACCATTCCCTGCCAGTAAACAGAAGAATACGTACCTCCTTGTCATTGCTGATTACTTCACCAAGTGGGTGGAAATGTTCCCGCTGAGAGACAGCAAGACCCAGAAAGTGGTGAAAATTCTACGAGAGGAGATCTTTACACGATGGGGGGTACCCAAATACCTGGTGTCCGATAGAGGTCCCCAATTTACGTCCAGCCTTCTGAGCGATCTGTGTAAAACATGGGGTTGTGTTCAGAAACTCACCACGAGTTATCATCCACAGTCAAACCTAACAGAAAGAATCAACCGGACTGTAAAAACTATGATTGCTGCATATGTGGGTCAACATCATCAGAACTGGGACCAGTGGCTACCAGAATTCCGCTATGCCATCAACACTGCTCAACAAGAAACCACAGGAAAAACTCCTACTGTGCTCATGCTGGGTAGACAAATTCTAGGACCACTGGAACGTCTTATCCATCGACCGCCTTCACCTGATCAAGCAGCATATTCCCTGGTCGAACGACAAAACAACTTGATGGAGGGAGTGAGGAATAGAATGAGGATGAGCCAAGCAAAATAATAACCGTAGGAAAGATGCGCAGTTTCAGACGGGTGACCTGGTTTGGATCAAAACCCATCCTCTCTCTAATTCAGCAAACAAATTTTCTGCCAAGCTAGCGCCCAAGTGGGAGGGTCCAGCTGAAATTAAAAGTAAAACAGGGCCAATAAATTACACTGTGTGCTGGGGCAACCCACCTAGAGTTGATATACTGAATGTGGTAAACTTGAAGCGCTATTATGGACGCTCTCCTCCGATGCCGCTGGCTGGGGGGGGGGGGGGGATATGTAGCTAAACCACATAAGGAAAGAATGTTTATATTGCTGTGAAGTATTTGTATGATGCTTACCAGACAGCTGTTTTTTATAATTATTCTTTCTCTGTTGATGCCCCGGACATGTGATTGTGTTCCTGGTTTTTACCGCGAGAGTTCCGTTGCGGAGCTCCAGGGAATCCCCGTGACTTTAGTCTGATCAGCTGGGTTAATGACTTTTACTTCCGTTTAAAAGAGCCGGGAAAGCGGCGTTCGGGAGCAACGTAAACATTGCTCTTTTGGGACTAGCGATCGATCGCACTACTCCTTGGATTGTCATTGACTGTGATTGTTGAACTCCTTGTGGAAATATACTTGTGGATTATTTTACCCTGGAGATCGCATCACAGGACAGCGCTGTTCCTCGTCAAGTGCACGGACTTTAAAAGGCTTACCGGTGAGCCCGATTCAACACATACACTTACACTGGATTGGAACACTCACACACTCACTGGACTTATTTCATAGTTTGTAGATGTTGATTGTTGGTGCTTTGTATTTAATACACTTTGAGGTATTATAACATCTTGTTTGCTGTTGTGTTTATGGTGTGAGTAAATAGAACAATTTCATTTAAAGAATTTATAGAGGGTTTAAACCGTATATTTTGTGGTGTATCCTGCCTTAATTAGGCTGAGCGTTACAAGCTAGCTTACGCAATACGAGAGAACCTCTCGTAAGAGAACCACATCAGCAGCGCCGCCGGTCGTCATGCCTCAGCACTTTCATGAAGAGGACGCAACTTCACGCCCTTCGTGCATGCATGCGCATCCAGAACCAGGTTTGACCGGGTATTCGGTACCACCGGGACTTGGTACCGTGACGTTTAACATTTTTTAGTACCGACTTGGTACCGAAGTACTGAATATTTTGACAACACTATTCCCCACTTTGAAAAACAAGTCGTTTGCTGAGGCTGGTGTCAATAATAGCTTTTATTGGACAAACAAGGACGTTTTCAGTTCTGAAACTTATAGGATATTCTTATAATATGATGACCTCTTAGATGTCAAAAGAAAAGGAAAGTTTGATTTCTCAGTTCATCACCCTTTTAACTTCAGTTAACAGAAATGAACGAGTAACTGCACTTACCACAGCTCAGCCATGAACTGGTCGAAAGCATAGATTATAAAAAAAAGTTCAAAGTTACTATCATATTTAATGTTATTATTTAGCAGATTTGGAGACATATTGATAGATTCGCATATGTTTACATCATATTTCTATAAACAACAATAATATTTATTGAATTTATACCCAAATGCGTCGATGTAATCTTTATGAGCGCTGGATACTCTGATGTAAGTTACTGTGTTTTCAATCCATACTGGCAGCCTGAGATTTAAGCTTATCAATCCAGGGGCGATTCTAGGATTTTTTCAACTGGGGGGCACAAGAGGGGCCACAATTATTACAGAGGGGCCATTCTTATGTTGTGTATTTATGTAGAACTATAGATATCCAAATCATTTCAAGTTCAGTAAGCTTTAAAATCAGCAATGTAAAAATGATCTGATGAAAAAGTTATGATAACTTATATATGTCATTCAATCAGACATAAAATAATGTGTCATGAAATTTCAACTCAGTTGTTTGAGTTTTCAATCTTCCAATTTAGTTTCATAAGTTACTTAAATGAATCACAAATTCCAGGTGCCTAATTGAACTTATCATTTTAATTTGAGTGGGGTACAAGTCTTTGCGCATGTGTGGGGGTGGGGGAAGGGACTACCGACGAAGCCACGAGACGAACTTTACGCGCCGAGCAATCAAACTTCAACAACCACCAGGTTCCTCATTTCTGTCAGACAAGACGACGAATCGGTTGTGAACAAGTGCATTATTGGTAAGTGTTCGTGTTTTTTATTTATTAAGAATATGTGTTGATGAAGCCAATAACATTAGATACCTTTTAATATGTAAAAACTGCGATGTCATTTAAGCGAGGCACATTTCAGCGGTAGAACACGTTTGCTAGCAGTTCAGTATTTTCGTTTAGTCAGAGACGGTTGATAGTTTTATCTGAGACAATAAACGTTACCAGTTTTCATTGTAAACTTCGTAAAACGTTGTAGAAAATGCCATTTCTGATATAAGTTAACGTATGTCAAGGCCAAACACACAAACATTAGCTACCGTTCAAAAGTTTGGGGTCAGTTAGTTTTTAAAAGAAGCATCTGCTCACCAAGGCCGCATATATTTGATTAAAAATACCAACACAAACAGTGATATTGTGAAATATTATTCCAATTTACCGCTATTTTCAATTTAAATACATTTTAAAATTTGTTCCTGTGGTCAAACAAGCTTTAGATTTCAGAACCTAGATCTTTTAGATTTTTAGAACAACTTTGATAATAATAAAAGAATATTTCTTGAGCATCAAATCGTCATATTATACTGATTTCTGAAGGAGGTTAGTGCTGGGTGGTATACCGGTTCATACTGAAAGCCGGTGTATATTTTTATGATATTCATTTTTTAATAAACCGCCATACCGATGTATTTATTTACACAACTTTCGGAACCTACGTTGCCCTGCGCGACACTATTTCAGAAGGACCCTTTATCAATGTTGCATTTCTGAGCAGCGACGGTGAGGAGGGGGTAAATCAAAAATCTGTGCTCTGGTAACTGTCTACGGTGTTACGTTACAGGTAAGGGGGATGCTGCAGAACTATGGCGTTATTTTCCTGTTAAATGTCAAGAGAGCACTATTTTAGCGCGAAAGTAAATTAATATAATGCGCGAATCTGTCTGCTTGCACGTGGAATATCGCGCCCATGCTCTCAGATACACGCTGCTCTGGTTAGAATGTCAGTTTTCTCTGGGCTCGCTTAAAGAATCCTGCACTTAAAACGTGTTCAGTGCAATCGCGAATCTCTCCTCTTCCCCAGATAACAATTTTAGGGTTCGTAACGTTCCCATTAAGTTATTAACGTTTTTTCTGAATGTTCTAAGAATATTCAAAACGTCCATTTTTTAAAACATTGTATTAACTATATTTCTTGGTTATTATAACGTTCAATATAAACGTTGTATTAACGTTCTTGCTTGGTTATACGATTAGGTTGTACTGGGTGCTATTCTATTCTACAATATTAAATAATGACTGTAAAATAAGACAATTTATTGCAGTAATTCCCTTGAAAATCCTTTGAAAACCAGATTATGCATGGAAAAAAGTCATAAACTGGAAAACTGGCTTCATTTTGAGAGAAAAAAACAACAAAAAACGTGATCTTAATTTT